GTAGTTTGGCTCTTTAGTTTGAAAAGTTTGCCGAATCCTGGTATGGTCACATTCAGTAGGGCATTTCTGTGAGAGAGTGAACACATCTCGCTTTCAGGTTTCTAAGAGATCAATCCAAGCAATAATAGTCTGTTGTGCAGGAATGGCAGAAATAACTTTAACCATGTTAAAGACAGAATACTAGCTCTGCTAAAATCTAGGTCTGCTGAACTCCTGCAGATCTCAGAATATAATGGAGGTTGCAAGAGCTCAGCGGCTCTCAGGTTCACACGTATGGTATTTAAAATCATAAGTGCTGGAAATAGATGTGCTGGGGCTTCTTCTCCATATGCTGGCTTGAAGTAGTAACAACCCAAATACATGGATTTTGCATTCAGCACTCTCTGCCACCCCACCCCCTGGTAAAAAAGTGTTCCAGCATCATTGCTTAAAATGAAGTGTATATTGGAGAAAGGCTGTCATGGGTAGCAGCATGAATGTCAAATGCCGCTTAATATTGTAAATAAGTTGTCTTAGGTTGTGCTGCTTCACTAACTTTGAGTGTGCACTTTTTTCTGAACCCCTTATGTTCCATTTCTCTCAATGTTTAGTTGGGAAGGGTGAAAGAAGAATGATACTATTTGTGTTGTGTATCTCTCTGTAGAAATGCAGGTTTTGAAATAATAATTGCCCAAATATAGAACTAGCCAGATCTCCTTTTTGCACTAAATAGGCTTTCTACTGGAAACTGAACAGGAATAGAATGTTTAATATTAATGGACTGTTAAAACAATGCACAACTGATTTACTACACAACTAATGCACAAATTCTGTGGGCTACAATAACAGGAACCAATACTTTGTATCCCCAGTTAGGAACTCGGGAGGGAGGGAGACACCTCTGGATCTGTATATGTACTTCCCCTGTGGCTCTTCTCTTTTCTCTATTCAGAGATGATGAAGAGAGCGGTCTACAGTTCATCCAGCTATAGAAATTAAGGGAATTTCCCTTGCTTTGGACTCCTTTTTTTTCCCCTCTCTCTTCTGATTTCTAGCTCTCTTTCCCCCCTCCCCTGCCCTTTGCAAGGAGGAGTATGTAGGAGTTCCTCACTTACTTTCTCTGTATTATTCTCTTTTTCATATACTTCTTTTTGCCCCCTTTCCGAGCTAAGCAGCTCCTGTCTTTCACTTTTTCCTTATATGGAAATTTCACCATGCCTCTAATCATCTTCCATCTCTCTCTCTCTTTTGTTCTATATAGTTTAATTAAAACTGAACACAGCATTAAAGGTATCGGTGCATCATTGATTTATATCAAGGGTGGGCAATAATTTTTGATGGGCCACTTCAAGAATTTGGAAAGTGGTTAAGGGCTGCGCTCTTTCATGTTATTAATGGAGAAGATGCAAGGGAGTCTGGGGGCTTGGGGTAAGGGATTGAGGTGTAGGAGAGAATGTGGGGTCTGGGAGGGAGTTTGGGTGAAGGAGGCAGTTGTAACCTGGGGCACTGGACTGGTGTGTGCAGGTGGTTGGATTGTGACCTAGGGCAGGGAATTGAGGTACAGGAAGGGGTTTAGGGGGATTGAGGTGCAGGGGTTTGGGTTGTGAGATAGGGCAGCAGAGGTCTGTGGTCTGAGGCAGGAGATTAGGGTGCCGGGGGGATATAGGTGCAGGAGCGGGGCAGAGGATTTGGGTATGTGGAGTAGGTGGCAGAGGGTTAGGGGAGGAAGGGGCTGGAGTGCCAGAGGTAGGCTCTGCCCAGGACACTTACCAGCCAGCAGCCCAACAGTTTCTAAAGCAGCTTCCCTGCCTGCCCCACCTTTGCGCAGGCTACAACCATGTGCTCTGTGAACAACTATGAGCCCCAGACGGGAGGAGGGCGTGGTGCTTCATGGCTGCCTGTTATTCAAACAGGCAGCTCCCATTGGCCAGTTTCTGGCCAGAAACCGGCCAATTGGATTGTGCTGGGGGCAGGAGCAGCACCTGAGGCCTTCCCTCCTCCCCTCTCGGCTCATAGGTTTTAAGAAGAAACCACCCAGTAGCCATGTTTGAGTGGTTTGCAGATGGGGTGAGGCAAGTGGGGAGCCTGCCTGGGGCTTCCTGCAGCATCTGCGGGCTAGATCCAGTGGCCTGTCAGGCTAGATTTTGCCCAGGCCTAATGTATATAGCTTGCATTACAATCTCTATCCCATTCCTTGTGCATCTTCACGTAGTGCTTGTTTTATTGACTGCAACTGTACGTTGAGCAGAAGCTTTCATTGAACTGGCCCCAATGATACTCGTGGCATTTTCTGAGCTATTAAGGGTTCATTTAAAATTCACTAACATGTATGAGTAATTCAATGCTTCTTTCCAGTGTGCATAATTCTGCACTTGTTCACATTGACTTCCTTACGCCTTCATATTGCCCAATTGCCTTTCTTGGTTAAATGTAACAAAAGTGTTAATTTGAGTAGGATGGCAGGATTCTCTTAGTTTCCCTCTATAGTTGGTTCTGTTTGTAGATTGGTTCTGCTCTGGGCCCATGCTTTGGCAGCTGCTGGTCAAGTCCTTGGCTGCTGAAGGAGTTTCATGTGCCGGGCAATTGATTAGAAAATATGAGGGGTATGTGACGGGCCCCCCATGTGTAACGGCATGAGGGAAATGCTGCTGACGCTATTGCTCTGTTAAACTGTGATCCTTAGTTCTATTTTTAACTTTTTTAATGAAAATTATTTAATTAGTTAGGATGCCATTTTATTACTTGACTTTTTTAAACAAACTTTTATTTATTCTGTTTCTTGACCGACACAACTAACAAAGAAAGTAATGGCTCAGCTACATAAATGAATTAATACTGGAAATGAGGGTTTATGTTTTTGTTTTAAACCCCTCTCTTCTCTCCCTACAAATGACTCTCTTATTTGCTGTGCGATAGAGCCAGGTTTCAGAACCAGGGTTCTGTGCTCGTTTGTACAGAGTGTGTGCCCCCAATTAAAAGAATTCCTGTTAATGGGTCAAAATGTAACCTTGAATTTCAACAGTTGATTCTGAAATGGTATCTGTTCACTGATGGAAGGGCTGCAGCTCAGTTAGGATCTAGCTTCTCAGCTGGGTGATTCCTAGCAATAATAAAACCAACAGCCGGGTTCCCTTTCTCTGGTTTCTTCTGGTCAGCGTGTTGCTATTGAAGACTTAAAGAACCCTGCTCTCTGAACTTCCAAGGTTTCTGTATAATTCAACATGCTGTTTCTTTTAAAAACAGAATAGCCGTGTATGGCAGAGGACAATGCAACATTCATGTGTGGGCCAGCACGTATTACAAAGGCAACCACAGCATTAGTGCATTTAGTTATAAGCTTTTTGACATTGATGATGATTCTTTTACTAATAGTCAAATGGAGTGAGAGGGCTCTGACAGATTTTGGTTGTCTAATACTGCAGTGTTTTTAGATTATTAGACCTTTACCTAGAATTATTCAGGGATTCATTAAGGTGATCTGTTTCTTAGTCATGTAGGCTGCTTTTCCAACAACATGCTTTAGAATGGCATAATTTAAGCAAGTAACAATAGTTTTCTCTGTGGGTACTTCAGTTATGATATTTGTGATCTATGATGTGGGCTAAGAATTTTTGGGAAGGCATTATGTTATCACCAGCAGATGCATGCAGCTAAGTGAAAGGTGCAAAGTCATCTGCAAAGTTAACTTGAGCCTTATTTGTTTTTACAGGCATAGTAAGCACAACTCTACAGTTTGTTCTGCATGCTAAATGACATGGATAATTTAGATTTGTGAATATCCTTCTGGACCCAGTCCTGTGAGGTAGTGAATGCCCACAGCTGCCTTTGAA